AAAAAAAAAAAAAACGGTATACTACCACATTCTATCTTTGCGTATGAAGGAAGTATGCACTTTTGATCACTCCTAGTGATTTCTTAAGCTTAGTTTCTTTCTTTTTCTTTTTTTTTTTTTTTTTTTTTTGGTACCGAGGCAGGCGCCAGAACCACTGAGCTAAATCCTTGGCCCCTGAACATGTTCTTAATGAGCCTGAGAAAGGTAGAGCAGAGATGCCCTGCCCTTGGGTTCCTTGTAGAGAAAGTGTGCATCCAAGTGCAGTCTCCATCTGCCCACAGTGAGGTGGCAGGCATGCTTGAGGGCCTGCAGGAAGATAGAGGCTTTTGAGCAGGAACCACCACTGCTGGAATAGGACTCCTAGCTTCGGGTGGGCTTGACAGGAGGAGGGTCTTTGACTTGAAGGAACTGTTAGTCTGAGGAGGGAGGATTCTGTCCTAAGGGAGCCCTACTCTGAGGGGCAGACAAGCTTCCTGCTCACAAGGTGAAGTAGATGTGTACACATTTATGCAAGGGTCTTACGTGCAGAATGGCACACAAGGCAGACATGTATAGGATAACTGACATGTACTTCATCCCAACGTCATGTATAATAACAGTCAAACTCCCAAGTACTTGTGTTTAAATTTTTTTTTAATATTTTAAGGTATGAAGGTAAATTCAGTGCTGGCTCAGTCTTTCCACTAATGGTTCAGATCTGTGTATGGTTTGGTCGACCCTTGGAGAAGACTCGCTTTGTGGCCAAGTGTAAAGGTGAGCTTTGGCCAGACCATGTCCCAGGCCCCAGTGAAAGAGTGCCCCAGCGTTGCCCCTGCTTCCTGGCACCATTTCAGCATTCTGTGTGCTCTCTCATCTCCTCACATTTGTGACCAAAAGCAGGCAGAGGGATTAGAGGTTGCTGGAGTCCCCTATTCCTGACTGTGTGGCCACACAGTTTGATTTCCCTCCCACTGAGTTTTCCCATCCCTGGGAATAACAGCTCCCTGGGACCAGGGAGTCGGGGTAGAAGCTTGAACCCTGGACTCTGGAGTGGGTGACATCCTTGTCCTCTTCCTCTTCTAGCAATTCAGTCCTCCATCAAGCCAAGCCCCTTCTCTGGAAACATCTACCACATCCTGGGCAAAGTAAAGTTTTCAGGTAACTGGGAAGTAGGATTTGGGAGCCCTGTATCATGGAGGGATCAAGTTCATAATGGGAACTCATAGCCTCTGCTGGTACCCTAAGGACCACTAATGCCTCTTCCACTTTCACCCTGCCCCCCTGGGGCCTTAAACCATCAGGCTTTTCTGCTGCCTCTTTTCCCTAAAGGCCCACCTTCTGCAGACCCCCTGCTCTGCCCATGGATGACCACTGAGACCTCTCCTCACAGCTCCTCACTTGGTGTCCCAGAGACTTGCCCCCACCCTGAGCCAGCTGTGGCCTCCTCCTGGGCCTGTCTCCAGGAACTGCCCAGTGCTGTGCTCTCCAGCTCCCAGTCTATTTCTGCCAAAGTCTTGGAGCTTCTACTTCCCTTCTGATGCCTTCTGTCCAGCGGGCCTTTTGATCAGCCTTAGACCTTGGCACCTGGACTAGGGGTCAAGGAAGACCTCAAAACTATTAGAAGTTGGTCAGCTCAGTGACAAGAAGGAGAGAATACCCCAGGGAAAAGGAACAACATTTACTATAATCCAGAGGCAGAATAGGCACATTTCAAGAACCAAAAAGGGTTTACCAAGGTTTACCAAGGCTGGACCCAGAGGATGGAAGGTGCTAGGGTACCTTTAGCTGTTACACGAAACCCCAGCCCAACTACCAGGTGTTAGCTGTTTAATAAGAAGTCAAACCTGGGCATGGTGACATATGCCTGTACTGCCAGCTACTCCGAGGCTGAGGCAGGAGGATCACAAGTTCAAGGCAAGCCAGGGAAGCTTAGGGAAACCTTGTCTCAAAATAGAATAAAAAGAGGGGCCAGGGATTTAACTCAGTGGTGCCGAGCCTGCCTCGAAAGCGCAAGGTTCTGAGTTTGATCCCCAGTACTGGGGGGAAAAAAAAGAATAAAAAGGGCCAGTAAGATGGAATATAGCTCTTGCCTAGTATGTTCAAGACCCCAGGCTCAATCCCAGTCCTGGAGGAAGAAAAATGTCAAGAAGTTGGACAGCAGAGCAAGGCCACTGAGCCCCCAGTTAATGTGTGTCTGTATGTTACTCCGTTCTTGGTGTCATCCATTCTTGGCACCACTCTTGTCAGGTGGTGCTGCAGGCCTAGGTGTCACAGCCAGACTCCACATCCAGCCAATGTTTTGGTGTAGACCTCCTCTCAGTCTTTCAGATGCCACAGGTGAAGAGTCAGGCTCCACCTCTTCTCACATATAAGCCTTTTCTTTTTCTTTTCTTGAGACAGAATCTCATTATGTAGCCCAGGCTGGCCTTGAACTCAGAGCAATTCTCTTGCCTCAACCTCCAGAGTGCTGGTACTACAAGTGTGCACCACCACACTTGATTCACCTTTCTTTCCTCTTGGGTTCCCTGTCTGAGTTAATAATGTCTTCTGATCACTTGAACCAGTGACACTCCTTTTGCACCTTCCTCTCTTACTCCTTCCTTTCCAACTTGCCATCAGTCATGTCACTTCTCCCTTCTGAATTTATTAGGAATCTGTCCCAGCCATCTGATCAGTACAGCCTCAGGATAGTCTTATCTTTCAGGGTGGGTCTCAGGAACAAGTATGCATTCCCTTGCAGACTCTGAAAGGACAATGGAGGTCTGCCACAACACTCTGGCCAATTCCCTGAGCATCGTGCCGGTTTTGGAGGGACCCAGGCCACCATCAGACTCAAGAAGCATCCCTCAAGACAGCAGCGGGCAGCAGGAGTGCTACCTTGTGTTCATTGGCTGCTCCTTGAAGGAAGATAGCCTCAAGGACTGGCTCCGGCAGTCAGCTAAGCAGGTAGCTGCTAAACCCCACACAGCCCTGGCACAGGTGTGATCAGCACAGCTCAGGCTTTCACTGGCTGGTATAAGCCCCTCTCCAGCCTCCACTGGGCCACACCTCACAGGCTGGGCTAGGATTTAGGAATACTTTGAGAGTGGGAGGAACCCCCTCAGGGGAACTCTAGGCTTCCAAGATTGTTTACTCAGATCCAGGTTTTCTTCCAGCAGTGAATCGTAAGCCTCTCAGCACAGCCTCAGGGGTTTGGCTTATCCTAGAACTCTGAAAGTAGAGCTGGCTGGGCCTAGGAATTTTATAGACTCTCCTTTGGGACCAGCTTTATACTGAGGAGGCCTGGGCTGCCTCGCCTGGATAAACTCTTGAATGGTACTTTACTATGGGACTACATGTTGTCCTTTTGTGTCTGTCTTTTGTGGGGTTAGGGATGAAAATCTGCAGAGGCAGGGCCATGCTGATTTCCAGAAGCTCCAGGCTCTGCCATTTGTTCCTCACTCCCTTGCAGGGTGCGGTGGTGGGAGAGTGATCTCAGGGTAGGAGCAGACAGGCAGCGTACCTAGTCTGGGCCATAGACCACTGGTGTACCTTCCCCTCCACATACTGGACCCCCAGAGCCCTCCCCACATCTCCCTCAGCTCCATTCCAACCTGTCCTCTGCTACATCTCTGCACAGAAGCCTCAGAGGAAAGCTCTGAAGACCAGGGGAATGCTGACCCAGCAGGAGATCAGGAACATCCATGTGAGTGCACCACCCTGGCCTTTCCCCTCTGTGCCCCAAGACTGCCTCCTAGGCCTATGTAGATTGCCCTTTTGCCTCATTGAGATAGGTGGAAAACCTCTGGTGTGACATAGACGCGAGAATGAGGACAGTCTGCCTGTAGAAGTAGGCAAGAGGAGGAGGCCTACCTGTCACCTATTCAGGCAACCCCAGAAGACCTCTATCCAAGATAAACCAGAGTGCAGGTCATGGTGGCACAGTCCTGTAATCCCAGAGCTCTGGGAAGCTGAAAAAGAAAGCTAAGTTTGAGCCCAGGTTGGGCAATATTTTTGTTTGGTGTTTTTTTGAGACAGGTCTCACTATGTAGTTCAAGCTGGCCCTGAACTCACAGTGTAGCCCAGGCTGGCCTCAAACTCGAAAATCCAATCCTCCTCCCTCAGTCTCCCAACTTCTGGGATGACAGGTGTTTGCCATCATGCCCAGCTTCAGTTTGTGCAATTTAATGACTTAGTAAGACTCTGTCTCAAAATAAAAATTTAAAAGGTGCTGGGGATGATGGCCTTGGGTTCAGTTCCCAGTAAGAGAGGGAGGGAGAGAGAGAGAGAGAGAGAGAGAGAGAGAGAGAGAGAGAGAGAGAACCAACTACAGCACCAGGGAGAAAGGTGTACAGAAGTTGATCATGGGAAGGTTGTGGAATCCTAAGGCCACAACAAGAGGTACTTAATGACTCCCACCCAAACTCCAGGCTGACCTCTAGCCTCTGTCCCAGGGCCCATGCCCACTAGAGCCCTTTCCTAAGGGGCTTGGCATCAAAAGGCCTAGACAATGTCCCGGCACCAGGATGCACTGTGTCATAGGCCCAGTGATGAGCAGCTGGGGCAGGAGAGAACTCGGAGAAGGAGGAAGGAGGAGAAGCACTGGAGAAGGAGGCCCCTTCATCGCCAACCCATTTCAGTCCTACACAGCTTGGATGCTCCTGAGGAGCAAAGCAGACCTTGGAATTGTTCCACAAAGGCAGGCCTTGAACAAAGATTGGAGTGGATGCAGCTTATTTTGGAAGTTATAGGAGATGATAGGGATGTGGAAAAGGGAGAGGGAAAGGGACACAGCCAACCAAGGGTGGTTATCAGACCAGTACCCTGGAAACCATGACAGCTTAATCTCCTTAGGAACCCCCTGGGTGGTGGTGGGAGCTGTCTTAATAAGATAAGGACTGTTTATGTGGTTGTGAAGTTTTGTTTTGTCTTTTCCAGTACTTGGGGATTGAACCCAGGGCCCTCATACTAAGCTACATCCCCAGCCCTTTTGTTTTGTTTTGTTCAGACAGGGTCTTGCTATCTAGTCCAGGCTTGCCTTGAACTCACTGTGGAGCTCAGGCTGGCATCAAATTCATGGCAGTCCTCCTGCCCCAGCCTTCCAGAGTGCTATAATTACAGGCATGACCACTACACCCAGCATGTTTGCTTGTTTTTAATGAGTGAATGAATGGTAGAAAATACAGTTATCAAATAATTCTATCTGAACTCTTTTTTTTTTTCACAGGTGAAACGCCACCTAGACCCCCTACCTGCAGGTTACTTCTACAATGGCACCCAGTTTGTTAACTTCTTTGGGGATAAGACTGATTTTCACCCTCGTATCCTTTGAAGCAGCTTGGTCCCTGTGTGGAATCTTACTGGCGAGGTAGGGCAGTGAGGTGCAAGCCTGTCAGTGGAGCAGGTGTCTGCTGGAGCCAGTGCAGCTGCATTCAGAGGGGCTGGGGACACACAGGAGCAAACCACTGGAGTCCACTTTCATGTTGGCCTTTTAAAGTTGTTAAAATTAGATTTGTCCTATGTGGTGGTGCACGCCTGTAATCCCAGCACTGGGAAATGGAAGCTGAAGCAGGAGGATTTCAAGGTCTTTAGCAAGACCCCATCTCAAAATATAAAAAAATTAAGGACTGGGGATGTAGCTCAGTATTAGAGGGCCCCTGGATTTGATCCCCAGTACCAACAAAAAACACTTTTTTTATTTTACCCCTTATTGAATGATTGCTAATGTTACTCTGCGGGGTGCAGTTGGAGTGCAGCTGTGGTAACACCGTGAGTTCTGTGGTCATCAGGTTATTGTGATTTCCAAATTGGAGACAGCCCGGTTACAAGTAACCCTGTAAAAAAGTGGACAGGCAAACATAAGATGGGGAGCCACTGGTATACTAGGGAAGTCAAAGGGCTCCATTCTAGGACTTCCTAAGGTCCTGTGCCAACACCTGTCACAGTCTTCGTACCTGTGATGCTGCCTGGCACACATCCCTGTATCACCTGCCCACAGGCCCCTCATCCTCCAGGTTCAGGTTTCTTCCTTAACCTCGGCCCAGTCATGGACCAGTTCATGAATGACTACGTGGAAGAAGCCAACCGGGAAATTGAGAGATACAACCGTGAGCTGGACCAGCAGGAGTACCATGACCTCTTTGAGCAGAAGCCCTAGAGGAAGCTGGGCCCACAAGCCCACCAGAGATGGACAGACGGTGTCTAAATGTCTGATTCCTGCTCTCCCAGTGGCCCCCCTGGAGGAGCTTGGTCCTCCCTGCCCCCATGTGTTGGCTTGAGTGCATGTTGTCTTTGTTCTCTCTGCAGCACTGAAGAACATCACCTGCACCACTTTTGGGGGGAGGGGGGAGCCTGCCCTGTGTGTGTAGGCCAGGCCCTCTGGGCTTCTGGTAACAGTGCTTCCTTTGGGCGCTGGCCACAGGATGAGGGTAGGGAGAAGCATTGGGATTACATTGAGGAGCTCCCAGGATTTACAAGGAACCCCCCAAACTGCAGCCAGGCCTGGGTGCCACCCACCCCAGACCTCAGATGCCACCCCAGGTCATCCCTCATCCTCAGGAGTATCTACTGCTCCTAAAGGAGCTGGCCCTGCTGGCCCTGGGCCCAGTCTGAGGGGAGTGGCACAAGCCCAGCCCCAGCCCAACCCATAGAGCCAGGAGCTTGGGCCCAGAGCCACAGCATGCTCTCCATGAGGGGATTCCCTTGTGGCACTCAACTGAGGGCAAGGCATGATGCTTTCCAGGAGTGTGTGGCTCTCAAGTTGACATCAGCAGTCACCCTGTGATTGGTTCTTGAGCTCTGCAGCATCGCTTTGTGTCCCTAATTCAGGGACAAGAGCAGGCCTGCTCCCCAAGCCCCTGGCACTCCTGTGCTTCCTTGTCAAAAGGAGCATCCTACAACTGATTAGTTAGAAGTATCAGTCTCCAGCACTCAGCCTTGCCAGGGAATACCTACTTCTCAGCCCCAAAGTTCAGGAAATTCATGGCTCCCAGCCATCATTCCTGGCCCTGGATTTGTTTGGATACTGAGATCTAGCATTTTCAAAGAACTCCAATACCCAAGTTAGAATTCCTTTCAGTGATTTTGTTTTCACTGGACCATAAAGCAGAGGAAATTTAAATTGTGTGCCATGCCGGATCTTCATAATTAGTTTGTGGGACAGGGGGTCACAGGCACTGATATGATACTTAGGAGATGTCCATTAGGTTTTCAGCACCTCAGCTGCCTGGATTGTAAATGTTTTCTGAATTTCACATATTTTTGCATGCCTTAGGAAGAAGCACATAGGTGAAACCAGCATAGTTTCCTGTAATGTAGAGGGGTTTTGAGAGAAGCCCCTGGTGCAGAGGATTGCTCAAGTGGAGCACAGAGGCCTGAGTGCAAATAGCAAGCAAGTAGCAAGAGCTTGTCAGTAAAATAGACTTGTATTAGAAAAAAAACTCTATATTTGAAGCAAAATGAACAAAACTGCAAATACCATTGAAAGAGAAATCTTGCATTAAGAAAGGCTCCTGATATTCAGGCCCATATGCCCCAGTCCCAGCTCAGTGACACAGGTTCTGCTCTGGAGCCGAAGTCTGAGAGCCCCTGACTTCTGGCTGGCCAGAGTCCAGGACCCACAAATGGGCAGCCTCTGCTTCAGAATCAATAACATAGATCATAAGTGCAATTGATTAATAAGCAATGAGTTACTATAGCTTCCTTTAGCTCTGCCGAGCTCTTTTTAAAAACTCAAACTTGAGCAGCCTTAAAAAAGGGAAAGGGGGGTGGGGGTTGGGGGCCCACAGGCCATTTCATTTCTTCCAGGGGTTGCTGTGAAGTTTTCAGTGGAAGCTCTAGAAGTAGGAGCTTGAGCCATTTTCCTGACTGCCCTGGGCTGGCAGTCTGGCTGCTGCACAAAGGAGTTTTTAAAGAGGGGTCGGGTCCCGTGCACAAGAGCAGGCCTTCCCCCCATGTAGGACTTCACTATGTGGTGATGTTGGTTTCTGACCATTATATATAGAAATGCTCTCTCACCAACCTGCCCCACTGTCCCCATTGCCCTCCTTGTAGAGGGAAAACTTCAATTACCTCAACTTAAATATGAAACTGTGATTGAAAAAAAGGTAAAACAAGTATCAAAGCCAAAAAGGCAAAACTGGCTGAAGCCTCTACAGACGCTCCCCAGCCTGCTTGGGAGTGTAAAGGGGCTCACTTGTGAGAGGGCTTTCCTAGGCATGTGCTGTGCCCCTGGTGAAGGGCACAGCGCAGTACACTGTGAGCTCTTTGAGGACTAGGGCCGGGAGTGCGTGGTCTCCCACACTGCTCCCCTGGAACCTGCAGCCTCTAGGTGTGGACTGTGCAGTTTTATATCCACTCTCTTTCTCTGGGCCCAGGAGCAAAGTCTTGGGCTGTCCCCAGAGGAAAGGCCACGACACTGTGTTTTAGCTTCTGATCTTAGAAGTGGATACCAGGGACCCAGCAAAGACAGGAGAGCAGTTTCCAGGGATAGGCACAAGTCCACCAGGGGCTTACATGCTTTTGCCACCTTTCCTATTAACAGCTTCAGTTTTATATCACCAGAGTGAGTGTGATAATGGTGACTGAATGGTTACTGAAGTTATGGGTTACTTTGTTTTGATGTGGGAGATTCGTTTTTTGATTGGAAAGAAGAGGCAGAAATTGGAGACAATGATATTACCCTAGGAAGGGGCCACGACCAAGGAATCTGGTTGGCTCCACCAAGCCCTTGGGTGCCCTGACCTGAAGCCTAGGTCCTGGCCCTTCAGGTTGGGATAAAAAGTTCCCTCCTAAATTCTATGAGGATTTTGGAGAATTTTTGCACAGTAATAAAGCTCTGGGTTGCTCTTTGGGCTTCACAAAAGGGAAAAGTTCAACTCAAAGATTGTAAACTATTAAGTATTTCAACAGTGATGCTGAGTAGTCGAATAGTTGTACCTCAAAAAGTAGGTGAGAAATGGCTTCCTCCTTGTCCCAGGTGGTCAACTACTAATGACATAAGAGCTCACTTACGTGCCAAAATTCACTTTTATACTAGTTTTTCAGTGCTTTAATATTTGTAACTTAAATTTTAAAACTCATATTTACAAACCCTACTGTAACTTCAGTGAAACCGAATTGTGTGATTGAAGCTTTTTGCTTATTATAGTATTTATTACACTACTTAATTCAGTAAATATATAAAGTAGCCTTCAATTTATTTTTATATTATTTTACATGGTTTTTTTTTTAACTGCAGTTGTGTATGTGAATTTACCTTGGTAATTAAGATGTAACCCTAAGGACCAATAAACTATCACTGAACAAGCAAGGCCTCCTTCCCATCATCGCCTACCCTGTAGACTGTCCCATGGCATTTCTGGGATAGGTTGAAAAGGCACATGCCTGGGAACTGGGGGCCTTCCCTCAGCTAAAACCCTGGCCGGGTGCCTCTTACTGTGACTGCTGTGATAGTGAGGCAAAAATACATATATTTACCAGGAAGAACTAGGCATGGTAAGGAACACCTGTAATCCCAGCACTCATGAGGCTGAGGCAAGAGGACTTGAGCTACATAATGAAACCTGCCTCCAAAAAAACCTTCCCTTCCTAAAAATTCTTTTTCTGAATAGGATTCAACAAACCTGCAAACTTATTCTACAAAAGAGTGGGTTAGTTTCTTTTATTTTAGCCTTGTGAGCTCCTCAGGCCCAGCCCAGTGACAAGAGGATGCCTTGGACACTTCCCTCCCCAGACCCCAGCGTACCTCAGACAATTAACTCTTATGAAACCACCTGGCTTACAAGGTGGGCACTGGAGCCCCAGAACCTGGTGAGGGGCTCACAACAGCTCTCTCACTCCTCCTCCCCAGCACGTCACCCTTGGGATTGAACCCAGGGCCTCCTGTATGCTGGGCACTCACCCCTCATCTCCAGCCCCTCACTGTTGTCTGACCAACCTGGCAGAGGTACAGGAAGCTGATCTGTTGGCCCATTGGTCCCACTTTATAAATGGGGGCACCTGAGGTGCACAGGGGTGCAGATGCAGAGCCACTCTCTTGACCCACATTGAATTTGAGAGTCCTTGTAGCACTTGGGTGTTGAGATGGCCTTGGTATCAAGAATCTTAAGGGGAAGATTGGCCCACCAGTAGCTCTAAAGAATACACACCGCTCAGCTCGATTGGTGTTACTTGTGTTGAGTGCACAGACCCAGGCCTCCCTTCGTGCCAGCTCAGTCTAACTCCCCAACCAGGCACCCAGGAACAAAACCCCCTGCCCATGGGGAAAGGGCTGCCTGGGTCACACCATAAAGGACCTCAGGCAAGGGGAAGTGCCGTGGGCAGATTAGTGTGGCCCCCAGCAGTGTTTCTAAAGCGGTTGGGAGGCGTGGTCTGGATTTTGGAAGTTCAGTGAGATCATTAGTCATGCATCATGCCCAGACCCAATGCAACCCTGCATGGGCGGGGTCTGATAGCCAGAGAAGGTGGGCAGCAGCCTCCTGCAAGTTTGAGCTCTGTTTGCATTTCCTCCAAACCTCCAGGACCTGGGGTCAACCCCCAAAGAATTACCAGGAAGAGTGAGAGAGGGTTCAGGGTTCCCAGCTAAGAACTTCCGAGGGCCAGGAAGATTTACAGGTCAGAAGACCTAGGGGCAGAGAAGGGAGCCACACCCCAATGGGTCCCACAGTGGAGACAAGGGACTATTGAAATGTGAGAGCTGAGTGACAGCAGAGCAGGAGCCTCAGAATCAGGGAACCCTGGCAGAGTGGATTTGAGGATTTAGAGTAGGGGGTTTCATGTGGAGCTGCCAACAACCACAGGCCTCTCTGAGGAGCATGGAGAAATGATGATGGGCAAATTTCTATCCTCAAGTGTAGGGGACAGTCACACCCAAGGGCAGCATACCACCCAGCCCCTTTCCTGGCCGGCTGACAACAAAGGGTACAGCTTGCTTCCCATAGAGTCCAGAGTGGTACCAGCTTCGGATTGGTGCTCAAAAGGCACCAGGGCCCTCTCTGCATCCTTGGTGGCCTCACTGTCCCCTCACAGTGAGCTTCCTCTGTGCCACTAGCAGTTCCGACACTCCCAGGGCAAGACCCCTCCCTCCTCCACAGGTGTCCCCAAAGTCTGGGCTCCCCTTCCCATCCTTGGCCAAGGTTCACTTGTGAGCCCCAAAACCAGGCCCATGTGGGAGCTGGATCTCCCAAAGTAGGGTTTGCTCCCCAGACAGCACTGCACATCTCCTCAGGCTGCTTCTGAGTCTTTCTGTTAAATCAGATACCTACTTGATTTTTATAAATGTTTTTTGTCACCCTTTTTAGTACAAGTAATAGGAAGCATCATTTTTGCTTTGTTTTTGTGTATCAGGGTCTTTACACTGAGCTACATCCCCAGAGGCATTTTTTTTTTTTCCAGTACTGGGGACTGAACTCAGGACCTTGCATTTGCGCTCAGTCTCCAGAACCACTGAGCTAAATCCCCAGCCCCACCAGAGGCTTTTTTTTTTTTTGTACAGGGGATCAAACTCAGGACCTTGGGCTTGCAGGGCAGGCATGGTGCCTCTGAGTTAAATCCCCCAGCCCCTTTATTTTTTATTTTGAGACAAGCTCTTGCTAAATCACTAAATTGCCCACAGGCTAGGCTCAAAGTTGTAATCCTCCTGCCTCAGCCCCACAGAGTGCTGAGATTACAAGCATGCACCACCAGGCCTTGCTAGGAAGCAGTTTTCTTGTTGTTGTGTCTGTGCTGATGATGGTGACTTAACCCCCTCTGTACTGGGACTTGAACTCAGGACCTCACACATACTCAGCACATGCTCTACCACTGAGATACTCATCCACCTCCAGCCCATGGTGGTGATTGTTTTGTTTGTTTTTTAAAACAGGGTCTCATTATGTAGTTCAGGCTGGCCTTGAACTCAAGAACTCATGGCAATCCTCCTGAGTGCTAGGATTATAGATGTGCACCACCACACCCAGCCAGAGAGCCTTTTTGAAGGAACAACTGACAAGACAAAATGACTAAGTAGACAAGACCCAAGGATGACCTAGAGGTAAAAGTGGAAAAAGCCAAAGTGGAAAAAACCCCAACATTTTGAAACAATTCCAATAACTATTTGTTTCAATCTCTAAAATTTGAAGAAAACTACATTTGTTTATTCACAAATTATTCCTGTTTTTCCCAAGCCTCTCTACTACTAAATTGATCTTTTAAAAATGTGCATGATAATAAATGACTATAAGTCTGCAGAAAATAAATGGTAGCCAAATAAAGTGTGAATATATTTGCTTTAATCTGCAGTTACTACTGCTTTTCCTGCACCAATACATAGAAGCCCACACTTTCTCCTCTTCTTGCAGTTCCACATTTTTAAGAAACTTTACATCTCTACTCTGAAACTTCATGCATGGATGAATGTACAAATAATAGAGAAATAAGGACAACAGGAAATGGAAAGATGGCTTGATAAGGAAAATTATTTCAGCTTGTGACTAAAACTTCATGGAATTTTCTACCTAAAAGGAGTCCATTTCCTTTCTTTCTTTCTTTTTTCCTCCCTTCCCTCTTCTCTTTCTTCTTCCTGTGTGTATGTTTGTGCATTACTGGAGATTGAATCCAAGGCCTTCACAATCACAATGAGCCTCATCCCCAGCCCTTTTTATATTTTTCATTTTTAATCTTTTTTTTGTTTTTGGTATGAGAGATCAAACTGAAGACCTTGCGCTTGCCAGGCAGGCGTGGTGCCATTGAGCTGAATCCCTGGCCCTTTATATTTTTTTATTTTGAGAAAGGATCTCACTGAATTATTCACAGGCTTACTCAAACTTGCAATCCTCCTGCCTCAACCTCTCAGAGTGCTGTGACTACAGATGTGTGCCTCCACACTCAGCTGAAGGAGTTCATTTCAACCTCCTAGTTTTATAATGAAAATGACCCCAGACCTGAAGAGGCTGGAGTCTTACCCTAGAGGGTTACCCTGGTCCTCCCCACTGACATTGACAGCAGCATCAGCCCTGGGTGGGAAAGGAGAGGTGTTGGTGGGGAGAACAGGGAGGGACCGTGAATGGACAAGGAAGGCAAGGGTGACCAAGAGGTGACAGGCCAGAGGACCTGAAGGTAGCCAGTCAGAATTCCTGCAGTGGCTGGCAATGAGATTCCAGTGGGGCAGGACCTGGGAGCAGATGAGAAGTGGGGACTTTTGGGCCCAGGCCTTCTGGGTAAAGGAGGTTAGGCCATGGCTATGTCTGTCCACAAGTGTTTATTGGCTGAGAAGTTGGGCTCTGGGGCTGGAACCAGGTCTGAGCATAGAGTGGCAACCCTGGAGCCTCACTGCCTAGCAGTCTGCTGGCCAGATTGAATCTCTGAGCCCAGAGCCCTTAAGCCAGTGATTGTGAACCTTTTAGAGCTTTAAATGATAAACAGCCCTCAACAGCACCTGTGCCTAGGTTTGCCACCACTGCCTTAGGCCCTGCCCACTGTCACATTCTGACTATGGATGGGACAGAGAGGGCTGAGGGAAGACACCCTGAGGGGAGAGGTTTCTAAGGGCCCTCTTCAGGGCAGGGCTTCTAGCCTTCCTGGCAGTCCTAGTTGGGGTGAAATCAAGGGAAAATCTGAATAAACCTTCCTGCTTCACTGATCTCTAGTTTCCTGCTTCTGTCATTAATCTTAGAAATAGCTTTAAAGGGGCCAGGGATTTAGCTCAGTGGTGCCGCACCTGCCTGGCAAGTACAAGGTCCTGAGTTTGATCCCCGGTACCACACACACACACACAAAAGCTTTAAAAAAGAAAAGAAATAGCTAAGCAGTAAAGTGTAGTTTTGCTATAGATGACACACTGACTTATGGTCACTGTGGTGACAATTTAAGCTGCTTTCTGGAACTTGGAGTTAGCCTTGCCCAGTTTAACCCACAGGTTACTACAACCCCTTCCTTCAGGCCCGTGAGGAGATACCTGAAGGGTGAGTTTTGATGGCAGAGAAGTCCAGACTCCACCACCGAGCCTGCTCACAGCCCATTTCATGAATGTGTGTCCTGTGAAAAGCCATAAAGTCTGCTGCGTGCATGCAGACCACCACCACTACTTCACTCTTCTGCTTCTAGTGCCTTTGCCCACACCTCAAGCTACCTGCTGCTTTATCCCATAAACACCCCTAAGTCTGTCTCCTAGGGAGTGGACTTACTTGCTCGCCCATTGCCACACCTGGGCTACTCTTTCTCCTCTGCAATAACTCATCCTTTCAGTGATTGACATACTGAGTGTCAAGGGAAACAGGGCTGGCTCAGTGACAGGGGCCTAGGTCTTTCTCAGTAGGGTGAGGTGTGGGTGGCCTCCAAGAGAGGCTGCTGTGTTACTTGGGTACCAAAAGGCCATCCCTCTGGGGGACCTGGAAATGCCTCAAGAGAGAATGGAGGCCAGCAGAGGCCATGTATATATCTCTGGTCCCCCCCGACCCCCAGCATCACCAGTGTGTCCAGTCCTCCTCAGAGAAGGGGAAACGCATCTGGGGAGAAGATAATCCAAAAAAGAATTAGAGGTGGACAGGAGGTTGGCATGACTGGTGGCTGCTTGTCCACTGGGACAACCAGGGAGTACCAGGGAGTTAACCACAGTAGGCAGTGAGCTCAGTCTATACTCCTCCATGGGCATGGAGTTCCCACAAATAAGTAACTGTTAAGAGAGGACAAGTCCTCACACAGAGTGACAGCAGGGTGACAGTCTCTCCTCCCAGGAAAGTGAGAAGGCTGCACAGCTGCTCTGGAGAAGGTTTTGAGGGGCTGAGGATATAGGGCAGGGCAGCGGGACCCTCAGGGAGTGTGGCTGGCTTCAAGGTGCAGGAAGTCATGCTGGCCTGGGTCAAGAAAGGCAAGGCATCCAGGATGGGAAAGCTGAGAAGCCGATGTGAAAAGACAGTGATGGCTGGGGAGTCTGGGGGCGGGGGGAGGAAGCAGGAAGAATGGGGAGTTTCTGCCTAGGCACCCGTCGGGCATGACTGGAAAGCTTGGGCAGCAATGGAGTGGAAGTCGAGGTCACCTGGGAGCAGCTTTGGCTTGAACTGCCTCAGGAACTATCCAGGGAGATTTCGATCTGCAGTCAGAAAAACATCCGGGTTTTACTGAGCACCTACTATACTGGGTGCTGCATTGTTGAAGGACACACAGTCCTGCTGTTGGGGCATCCATGTCTAGCCAGGCAGACAAGACCCAGGCAGTAGGTAAGAAGAATGGAAGAAAGATCTCCAGGGTTTTGGGCCATGGGTCTGTGAAGGCAGGAAAGCTGGAACCTACTTTGGAGAGTGTGACCAGGGAAGGTCCCTGAGACACTGTGGTGAGACCCCAGCGGCACACAGACTGTCAAGGCCTTGAGGCAGTCAGGGGACAGTGGTAGAGGACCAGCAGCACTGGCAGCTGCAGTGACATGCACTGAGGAGCAGGAGTTATGAGGTGGGGAACAGCAGCAGCCAGGATGTATAGAAGCTGAGCCACCCCATAGCACAGCTGGGAGTTTGGAAATGTCCTTTGCTAAGTGGACGGGAAGACACTGTGGATGGAGTGGCTTATGGGAGAAGGGGATGGGGGAAGGGTGTGGCAGGAGGGTGCTGGTTAGGGGCCAGGTGATGGGCTAGCTGGGGTTGGGACCAATTAGATCTCTGGGCTTTTTATTTTGGTTTGTTTTGTTTAGTTTGTTTTTGATACTGGTGATTAAACCCAGGGCCTCACACATGCTAGTCATGCACTCTTATCAATGGGCTAACATCCCCAGCCCTTTTTATTTTTTGAGATAGTCTCACTAAGTTGTCCAGCCTAGCTTTGAACATGGGATCCTCCTGCCTCAGCCTTCCAAGTAGCTGGGATTTTGAGCCTGTTTTGTAGGTAAAGGCAGCAACCCTTGCTTGTGGATTTGATGTAAATGAGCCAAGGTGAGTCTCAGGTCTGGAGGAACTGGGTGGAAAGTAGATTCAGGGGCCCTATTCAGGTGTGTTTCATTTGATTTGTGCACTGGCCATTTGGGTATGTATGGGCTGCAGGTTAAGTAGGCCATGGCTTGTGGTAGTCAGGAGCTCAGTGGCTAGAGAGAAGAAACAAAGGTCAGCAGTGACTGACAGAGCCAGGGTGAAGGGGAACATGAGCCAGGCTCCTAAAAGAGATGTCACAGATGGTCTATGTACTGCCACAGGAGTGACAAGAAAGCTGAAGTAGGGTGGCCTGGAGAGTAGTTTCCACAACATGGTAGGGATGGAAGACAGGGTTTTTTTTTTAAGCAAAACATTTATTGGTACATTTTAGATATACATAATAACATTCATCATAGGGAATATGTACGTGTACATGATACATCTTGCTTCTTTTTTTCCCATTTGCCCCTCCCTTCAACCCCTTTTCTTCCTTATTTACAAAAGCTTTGTGGGCTGGGGATTTAGCTCAGTGGTGCTGCCGCCTTCCTCTCAAGCACAAGGTCCTGAGTCTGATCCACAGTACCAAAAAAAAAAAAGCTTTGTTTCCAGTTTTTCCTTCTATTTTCTCTTTTTTCTTGTCCCTTCCTTCCTTCCCTCTTTCCCTTGTTCCCTTTCTCATTTGAACATTTTCTTCCTATTTTCCAATATCTATTATACATTTTAGACTTTATTTCTACTTTCAGTTTCTCACACTAGAGAAACAGTGCAGTATTTAAACATGTGTGTCCAATTTATTTCATTTAAAAGTATGGTCTCGAGGTGCATCCATTTACCTAGAAATGTCTCAAACTCATCCTTCTTTATGCCACAGTAATACTCCATTATATAGAAAAAAACCACATCTTCTTTATCCATTCATCAGTTGATGGGCATTTGGGCTGTTTCTAAGATTTAGCTATTACAAATTGTGCTGCTATAAACATAGGTGTGCATATATCATTATGGTATGATGCTTTTAATTTTTTCAGGAAGATAACAAGAAGGGGAATAGCTGGGTCAAATGGAACCTCTAGTTTTGGGGGGTTTTTGAGGAATCTCCACACTAATTTCCACAGTGGTTGTACCAGTCTGCACTCCCACCAACAGTGGAGAAGGGTTCCTTTTCCCCACAGCCAGGCCAGCATTTGTTATTGGTTGATTTCTTGATAACAGCCATTCTTTCTGGAGTGAGATGGAATCTCGGCATTGTTTTTTAATTTGCATCTCTCAAATGACCAGTGATGTTGAACATTCTTTCATACCTTTACTCTTTCTACTTCTGGAAGACAGGTTTGAGTGATTTATTTTTGCGTGTTTGTCATTGTTGTTGTTTGAGGGGTTTTTTGAGACAGGGTTTCACTATGTAGCCTAGGATGGCCTTGAACTCTCAGCGATCCTCCAGGTATGAGTAATCTGAAGAGAAGTAGAGAGGGAGTTACTTTGTTTGATTGTTTTTTGGTACTGGGGATTGAACTCCGGTCCTTGTGCTTGTGAGGCAGAACCGCTGAGCTAAATCCCCGGCCCCTGGGCATGGTGTCGTAAACCTGTAATCCCAGCACTCAGGAGGCTGAGGCAGGAGGATCAACTTGAGGTCAAGGCCAGTCTGGGCTATATAGTGAGTTCAGGGCCAGCCTGAAATACAAAGGAAGACCGGCCTCAAAAAACAAAACAAAACAAAAAGTGTGGCTGGGGGAAGTGCACCTGGAGGTTCCAGGAAGTGTGTTGGTTTTTAGTAAGATTCTTTCTATATACAGTTCTCACCCCAGTTTCTAATTGTAGGCAAACTAAGTTGCATACAAGATAAACTGAGCTGGAAGTGCTTTGGACAGAGGTGCCTTGTGGGATCCAAGTGCTTGACTTTTTTGTTCACAGGCCAATGAAGTCAGAGGCCCCAGGGGAGGGAATGAGAGGGTTCCAAGTACCTGCTTCTTCCAGTAGCCATGCAGCACTGGTCGGGAGACCCAGGCACCTGTCTCTGCCTCAGCTCCTGATATCTGTGGGACAGGAAACCGCCTCTGAGACCAGGGCCACAGCACAGGACACTAAAGCCAGAAGGGCTCAGTGTGAGTTCCTTTGAGAGGTAGATAGAAAGGCAGGGGGACACAGGCACCCTAGGGAGGACTAAGGTCCTATGACGGGGGAGGAGGAGGCTACGGTAAGGGGGATGAACCTGAATGGGAAGGAGCAGGTGTTTGGGAGCTGCTGGGACAGAGATGTCGAAACCAAGCCATTCCCAGACGTCGGAGGCCGGAGGTGAAAGCCAAGGCCCATCCAGTCCGATTCCCTATGCAAGGTCAGCCCCCAACGTCCACCTAGCCGCTGCCGGAGGCCGGAAGTCTGTGGCTGGCGAGAGCTCTGGCTAACAGAGTTCTGGTCCCAAAGGCGTGGCAGAGGGGCTTGTAGAAGACCCGAAGAGTCTCCCCCAGGGCCACGGGACCACGGCTGCAGCTGTTGCGCAGAGGTGGGTGGGCCTCTGCTTACACCGCGCCCTTTCCTGGCTGGAGGACTGTGGCGGAAGCCTCTGTCCCAGCAGGGTAAGGGGAACCGCCGAAGGTCTTGCCGCAGGCACACAGTGGCGCGGGCTGGGGGATAAGGCGCAGGCCGCAGAGCAGCGCGCATCCGCCTGCCTTGCGCACCACTGCCTTCCCGCACACGCGTACACGCGAGCACAGACTTGCACCACCACACACCCACACCACTCCTCGCACGAGAGCCAGCTCCCGCCCGGCCAGGAAAACAGAAGGCGGCGGGGGCATTTTGGGAAGGAGAGAAGCCGAGAGTTGAGAGGGGAGCAAACCTGAAGCCGCGGAGCTGGGCCGGGGCCGAACCCGGGGAAGGCGCGCCGGCCCGTCCAGTTAGTCCGGGCGCGCTTCCTGGAGGAGGAGGAGGCCAATTAAGGGCCGAGCCCAAGCGATGAATGCAGAAGGCGGAGCTGCAGGCCCCCAGGAGAGGGGGGTGGGGGCCGGCGACACAGTTAAAGCGGACACCGGAGAAGCCCTCGACCCACCGCAGTCGCATTCTGGCGGGGACTGCATGGTCGTCGGGCTTCTACACAAAAACTTCCCAGCCCCGCCCAGGCCTTCGCCCCGCGTGGCCTGAGCGGGTGCGCTTGCGTTGTCCGAAAGGAGCTGGGTCTACGCGGCTTGGCCAAGCCGCCGCGGGCTCGCAAGAGCAGTCGTCTATTTACGGGGCGAGGGTGCGAGGGGGGCGGACTGCTAACCCGCCCTTGGCGACCCTTCCTCCCCTTCTCAAGGGCGGGGCTTCCGAGCGGCTCTAGGACCCAGGCGAGGTGCGGGGGGTGTGTCGCCGGCTCCCGCCCATTTGAGGTCCCGCGGCGCCCGAGGACTAGGACCCGGTGGTGAGCGCAGCAGTCCGGCCAAACTCCCGAGCCATGGCCGCGGCCAGCAGGCGCGTGTTCCATCTCCAGCCGTGCGGTGGGTGCTGGAGCCCGATGGCGAGGCGGGGCGCGGCGGGGAAGTCAAGGCATCTAGGCGGGGTCGCGGAGCCGTCGGGGCACCGGACAGCGCCCATGGGCAGGAGGACTGTGGGGCCCCCTGCCTGGGGCGCGATCCTGGCTGTGGGTCCAGTCGAGAGGGAGCCAGAGTCAAGGCGCATGACTGAGGCCTCTGCACTCTCCGTCTGGAACCCTTCAGCGTCTGAGCAAAGATGCGGCGGGTGGAGGGGTCGGGCAGCAGGCAGAGTGGTGCCCCGGGGCCTCCGCGCCCGCAGAGCTCTTCAGAGCTCGGCCCACGGCAACCCGGGAAGCCTCCTCCTAGGCTCCGCGGGGCATCCAGCACGCAGCACTGCGGGGGACCCCCTGGGCCCAGGGGCTGTGACCATGTCCGGCTCTACCAGAGAAGTCCCCGGGATATCTGGAGGGCAGCCCCGGGCGCGGTCGCGGCCAGGAGCGGGGTTCGTCCTGCGTTGTACCTGCACATAGGACGCGAATAGGAGGATTAGCCTGACCCTCGCTCTTCCAGCCCCTAGCCCGCCGCCCACCCCGCGGCCTCCGACCGCACCTTCCCTGCCTCTCCCTCTTTCGAGTTCGGCCCCGGCTCCCACCTAGCGCATCCGCCCCGACCCTAGCTCTGCGCCTGTGGGGGCGCCTTCCTCTGCACACGCCGCCCTCCTGTGCTTCCTTCCTTGCTCAGCTCGGCACAAACAGCGGCCCGTCTGAGTCCGGCGCGGGGATTGTGAGTGCACCCCGTGCCCTGTGTGTACCCTACGCACGTACCTGCCCCTTCTCTCTTCTGAATCAACTGCTCCACTTCCCTGGTGCCCTGAACAGTAGTGACGCCCAGGGGAGAAGGCCGTTGCCAGGTCCCCCTCGAGTGACCCAGGGCGCGTGGGGTCTAAAGGAGGGCCGTGCATGGGATGGGCGTTTATGGCTCCCGGATCCGAACCGGGACCGGCCTGAGGGAGAGGAGCGAGGTGCGGAGAGAACGCCTTGGCCCAGGTGCTAGACTTGGCAGCGCTGGAGTAGGGAGAGACTCGCTTCTCGTGCCCTCCCTCCAGCTCGGCGGCCGGGTTTAGATTCCGTCAGCGAAACCTGGATTAATGAACTGGGTAGTGTTAATAGTTTGGTGGGAAAAAATCCTGAGAACTGTATTCTTTGACCTTTTGCGCACCTGGGCATCTACCCCCCCCCCGCCCCGCCCCGTGAGTTAGGAATTTAATAATTTAAATCAAGGCTGGCTTCCCCTGATTTAAGGGGCTGGCTCCACAGGGGCCCTTCCCTTGAACTAATATTCCTGTTTCCCCCCTTCTCCTTTGGTACTGGGGATTGAACCCAGGGCCTTAGTGCTGAGCTACATCCACAGCCCTGTTTTATTTTTTGTTTTGAGAGCATCTTCCTAAATTGCTAAATTGTTCAGGTTGGGCTTGAACTTCCGATCCTCCTCCTGCCTCAGCCGCTCAGAATGCTGGGATTATAGGTGTGCACCACTGTGACCAGGCCTTGCTACTCTTGTTCCCCAGGGTTGGGTCCCTGGGAAGGATAAGAATAAGCAGGTGGGCCGGGGATTTAGCTCAGTGGTTCCGGCGACTGCCTCAAAAGCGCAAGGTCCTGAGTTGATCCCCGGTACCAAAAAAAAAAAAAGCAGGTTTGGTGTGGGGTGGGTTGCAGGTGGGCACAGGAGATTGTCTAGGGCTGCTCCACTGAACTGGTGACAGTTCTTTGGCTTGTCTTGCAGAAAGCTCCTCTTTGGCCACATCAAGGAATGGATGCCTTGAGGACTCCAGTGAGTACTTCTCAGGTGTGTACACAAACCTTGGCTGTCTCTAGGTGACCACACCTGCATGTCGTGGCATTGGCCACCTGTCCGTGTACCCATGCTGGTACTGGAATGCCTTTGTCCTCACTTCCAGGAGGCCAAGGTGTGGTGAGAGAGATGGCTCACAAGTCCATCACTGCCAGGTCCTGGGGGTACCGTGGTCCTGGGAGGTCAGGTGCTGGGCACCACCTGGTGTTCCCTCGCTTGATCACTGCTACAATGCCCTGCATATCTAGGCAGCCTTAGGCCACGGGTTGTGTCTGCTCTTATCTCATCCCTCAGTACCCACGCAGCCCTGGAGGGAGGCACTGCTTTGTCCCTCTAAGGAAATCTAACCTCTCTGAGCATCAGTTGTCCTTGCTTGCATGGGTCTAGCTGTCCCCTCCATGTATCTTGGCTGCCTATCCCCCTTCGTGCTGCCCGTTCTGTGCCCAGCCACTTGAGCTGGCCTGACCATAGTGCTTAGACTGAGGGTGACACACACTCACCCCGTGCCCTCGGGGTTACATATCTGGCCATCATTCACAATGGAGGTAGGGATGTAGCATCCAAGGAGCCCTGCAGGGAGCTGGGGTGCCACCCAGGCAGGTCCTTAACTAAGGGGCCTGAGAGCTGACCCTACAAAAAGGTAGGCAGGGTGATAAGATGTACAGGGCAACACGGGGAGATGGGGTGCTGACCAGGGCGGCAGAGGAGCGAGTGGGGTAGATAGGGGTTGGGGGAACTGGGAGGCTTTAAATAAGGCAGGCAGAGATGGGGAAGTATGGTTTTTCACAAGCTCAGCAACAAAAGTGAGAACATCTTGCGAGCTAGTAGTTCTCTGGGCTGTGGAGTCAGAACAAGCCTGGGGCTGGGGGTCAAGTCCCTGAGCTTGGAACATGGGGATGTGCAGAGGAAACTGGCTGACCAAGTGGAAGTGAGTCAGGGTGAGTCACTGCCTACCAGGTAGGCGTGCCGCTGACCCCGTTCCTGTCCCTGCACAGGTGTTGGTCAGGCAGTAGTGGGGCCTGGACTACAAGGGCCCCTTTTCCTGAAGTAGCCACAAATGGGGACCATCGGACGGTCCCGGAAGAGGTGCCAGCTGGGCCAGAAGAGAGGCAGGGCCCTGGGAGGCTTCCTAGAGGAGGAGGATTCCAAGTGAGCCCTAAAGAAGGCCTGGGTGGGAGGGAAGCCTACAGCTGGCTTGGAGGAGCTGGCAAGCTTGGGGTGCTGGCTGACTGGGCAGAGTAAGGGATCAAGGTGGGGACAAGGACTAGGACTGAGCCTGAGGAAGGGATGGGGGGAGCAGCAGGGCTTAGGGAAGAGAGGAACATTTGCATGTTACCAGGGAGCTTTCCTGTGGGTCTTCACACTAAGTTACATCCCTAGCATTTTGGGGGGGGGTACCAGGGATCGAACTCTCGACCTTGCACTTGGGAGGCAGGCGGCAGATCCACTGAGCTAAATCCTTGGACCCCCAGCCATTTTTTTGTTTTGTTTTGAGTCTTGCTGAGGTGCTCGAGCTGGGCTTGAAGTTGTAGTTCTCCTGCCTCTGCCTCAGAAGTAAGGTGCCTTTTTTTTTTTGGTACCGGGGATCGAACTTGGGTCCTTGTGCTTGTGAGGCAGATGGTGGAACCACTGAGCTAAATCCCCAGCCCTTCTGCCTCAGAAGTAGCTGAGACTATAGGTGTGCACAGCCTTATACGAAGTTTGGTGGGATGACATAGGAAGGGTCAGAACAGTGCAGGGGCTTGATCCCCGTAGCTGGTGTTGAGGAAAGTCTCTGAGCAGGGAGGCTTCTGCTGTGCATGCCAGCGGCCACACTGAAAGGGGCTGGGCAGGATGACCAGTGCTCCCTTGGTGGCTGGGGGCTCTCTCCTGGCCTGTGGGAGGCTTCTCATCATTTACAGAGTAGGCAGCAAGGACCTGTGCCTTGGGCTTGGAGCCCCTCCTGGTGTACAGCACTGACCACTGGGTCATCTCGGGTCTCTTGGTGACAGCTGCATCCCTGAGCTACCTCAAGAATGATGTGGACAATGCTTCAGAGGTCCGGGAAGAAAGCCTGGGGGATGAGGTCTTTGACACGGTCAACTCCTCCATCGTGTCTGGCGAGAGCATCCAGTTTTTCGTCAATGTCAACCTTGAGGTGCAGCCCTCCATATCTGGTAGGGGGGGGCTGCAGCAGGGACAGGCTGGGGGAGCGGGACCCCACTCTACCAATGAGCCCTGAGCACCCTGAGCCCTCTTCCCTTCTCCCCAGAAGGTGAAGCGCTGTCTGGCTGCGTGCTCCTGCACACATCCCGCAAGGTAAGGGTCTGGGGTCTGGTTGAGGTGGCAGGAGGGAGCTGCTTCCTGTGGGTCCCTCCTGCTGTCCCTCTCCCCATCCCTCCAAGAGTTGCTGACAGGGATTTCAGGCCAGCCCTAGGCTGAGCCTTCTCTCCTGGAAAGGGGTCTTCACCCTGATGGGCAGGGGCAGCCAGAGGGCGCCATGGAGGAGTGAGCCCCAGGAGGGACAGCAGTCTCATTCCTGGGCCTGTGTGGTTCTGGGCCTGGGGTCCCTGCAGTACCTGAAGTTAAAGAACTTTGGGGAAGAGATCCGAGCACACCGGGACCTGGATGGCTTCCTGGCCCAGGCCAGCATCATCCTGAATGAAACAGCCACCTCCTTGGATGATGTGCTACGCACCATGCTGAGCCGCTTTGCCCAGGACCCCAACAACGCTGAACCCGACTGCAACTTGGACCTAATCATGGCCAAGCTCTTTACGGATGCAGGGGGCCCCACGGAGAGTAAAGGTACAACCTATTTTTCCACCCAGCAGGGAGGTCTGGGGGAACAGCTGACCCCCTCCCTTCATTCCACCCTCAGTGCACCTGCTGTCAGATACCATCCAAGGGGTCACAGCCACGGTGAGAGGGGTGCAGTACCAGCAGTCATGGCTCTGCATCATGTGAGTTGCCAGGCTACCCCCAACAACCATCACACTGGAGCTCAGTGTCTCCTGTCCCTGCTGAGGCTCCCCAGCCACAAGTGACCCAGCTCTGGTGACACCTGGTTTGGGAGGATAGTGTCCATCATGCCATCCTATTGGTCTCTCTTCTCCCCAGTGGAGATTACCAGGGGACAAAGTCAGGGTTTGGGGGGAGCAGCTCCTGAGGGTGGCAACTCTGTCCTATGTGCCCACCTGTCCCTGCCAGCTGTACCATGAAAGCCCTACAGAAGCGGCACGTGTGCATCAGCCGCCTGGTTCGCCCACAGAACTGGGGCGAAAACTCCTGTGAGGTTCGGTTCGTCATCCTGGTGCTGGCCCCACCCAAAATGGTGAGTGCAGGTCTTGAGGTTCCAGGGGCCAGACTGCCCTGACCCCTTCTCTAAAGCATCTCTGAAGGCCTCCTGCTCATCCCTCTCCTCTCTCTCCATGGTGCTTTCCCAGACACTTCCTTGCTAGGTCCCTGTTGCACACAAATTTCCCCAGAGTTGCCCAAAATGTTGTCTTCTCATCTGAGAAGAAATGCTTTTTCCATTACTATGATTTAAACATCGTCACCTTTCTTCAGCCTGGTCTCCCCTACCCTACACTTTCTTCTAGATGACTGACTTTAAGATTTGCTGGCCAGGGCCAGAGATTTAGCTTAGTGGTTCTGGTGCCTGCCCCGAAAGCCACGGTCCCGAGTTCCATCCCCGGTACCAAAAAACAAAACAAAACAAAAAACGATTTGCTGGCTAGCAATCCCCACTCTTTCATGGGCTATATACTGTTTGGTCAGGGTACCTTGCTTTTGTAGAGGTTGAAGCTGGTGTAATTTGGGGATTCTCCCAATAAAGAAGGATTTTGAAACCTTGACTAGGGAATTATGAAGCCCCCTTCATAGGCCTTAGAAGAGCTTTAACATATAATCTTCCATTAGTTTTTTGGTGAAGTGTGTTGGGTACAGAACCCAGGATCTAGTGCATGCGAGGCAAGCACTCTACCCCTGAGCCATACCCTTTGCCCTTCATTAGCTCGCTCCTTCCCTCCCTCCCTTCTTTCCTTTCTCTTTTCTTGGTACTGGGGATTGAACCCAGAGCTTTTGCACCAAGCTACATCCCCAGCCCCTTTTTTACTTTTTATTTTGAGACAGGGTCTCACTAAGTCTCTTAAGTTGCCCAGAGTAGACTAAGACTTGCAATCCTCTTGCCTCAGCTTCCCCGAGTGTTGGGATTAAGGACTGTGCCACAACACCCATTAGCTTCTTGATGATTCTGTCTTTGCCTCTCGCACAGGCTTCCTCCAGGCAAACGGAGTGCTAAGAAAATGTCCCTCCCAAGGGTCTTATAGACATGCTGTCTGCAAGGGTACCAGGGAGAAAGGAAGGACAGTTCACGGTGACAGGAAGTGGCAGCTGGCAGGGTGGGCAGAACAGTGAAAGGAGCAATAGCCTATGAGCTGGGTGCCTTGAGGCCAGTCAACCAGCCTGGACACTGGGCTCCTCCCCGGGAAGGCAGGCTGTTCTGCAGCACAGGATGCAGAGCCCTGGGATGACAGCTCTGAGCATGACCAAGGGGCAGGTGCTGCCCCAAGGTACCTGGGCTGGGAGATGAGCAAATTGCTTAACTGGACACTTTAATTCATGGTTCATGGACACACTGACTTGGCCAACAAGGAAGAGACCAGGTACAATGGGCCTGGACCTCCTTTGAAAATCAAATAAACCAGCAGACAGTGAAAATACCACTGGGGAGACATGGCTGTTTGGGGTAATGTTTTGCTCTATTTCGGTTTCATATCAGTGGTCCTCTGTGTGTGTGTGTGTGTGTGTGTGTGTGTATGTGCTAGGGATCGAACACAGAGCTTTCTTTGTACATGCTAGGCAAGTGCTCTGTCACTAGCTATATCCCCACCCCCATCAGATTTGTGTTGCTTAGAACAACTAGTATCTGAATTTATAAGAAAAGTATTACGTTGGGTGTGATAGCACAGGTCTGTACTCCCAGTACTTGGGAGTCTGAGGCAGGAGGATCACTGTGACTTCAAGGCCACCCTGGGCTATTGTATAGTGAGTTCCAGTCCAGCCTGAAATACATAGCGAGACTCTATCTTAAAAGAAAAAGAAAAATATTACATTTTACATTGATAGTCGTTCTAGGGCCGGGGATTTAGCTCAGTGGTTTCGCCGCCTGCTGTGCAAGCACAAGGACCCGAGTTCGATCCCTGGTACAAAAAAAAAAAAAAAAGTCATTCTAGTGATCTGCTGAGCTGGTGGAAATGGTGGCCAGTGTACCCCACTGCCTGAACTTTGGGGAACACTGCCAGCTCCCAGGGAGAGCCTCTGCCACCTTCTGGGGGATGCTATGCTTGCCAAGGGCAGTGTACTCTGCCTACAAGGACTACAGATGCACTCTCCATCTTCCATCTCCAGAAAAGCACCAAGACTGCAATGGAGGTGGCACGCACCTTCGCCACCATGTTTTCAGACATCACCTTCCGCCAGAAGCTCCTGAAGACCCGCACAGAGGACGAATTCAAGGAGGCATTGGTGCATCAGAGACAGCTGCTCACCATGACAATACCAAGAGCAAATGGACATGGCACAGGCTCCTTCCATGGCCATAGACACCCACAGGTACAGGGCAGAGGTGGGCATGGGCAGGAGGGGCCTGAATGGCCAGGGCCAACAAGTGCTGTCTTCTCTCCCAGCCCCCAAAGTGCAAGGACTTTATCCCTTTTGGGAGGGGCATCCGGGAAGACATCATGCGCAGGTTTCCTGTATACCCACTGGACTTCACTGATGGTATGAGGCCCTGTGGCCCACCCAGCACTCAGCCTTTCGGGCCTCAGGGCCACATGTGTGTCCATCCTGCCTCCCCAACAAACCTTCTTGCCCATCCCCTTTTCTAGGCATTATCGGGAAAAGCAAGGCTGTGGGCAAATACATAACCACCACCCTGTTCCTCTACTTCGCCTGCCTCCTGCCCACAATTGCTTTTGGATCCCTGAATGATGAGAACACAAATGGGGCCATTGGTGAGGGCCTGGTGCCTGTCAGGGCTGTGCTGGTCAGGGCCATGGTGCCCACTGCGTCCATCTGACCTCCCACCTCTGCAGATGTTCAGAAGACCATAGCTGGCCAGAGTATAGGAGGCCTCTTGTACGCGATCTTCTCCGGGCAGCCGCTGGTGATTCTGCTGACGACTGCACCCCTGGCCATCTACACCCAGGGTGCAGTGGGGATTGAGGCGGGAGATGGTGCCTGAGGCCTTAAGTCCCCACTGGGAGCTGACCATGTGTCCTGTTCACAGTGATTCGTGTCATCTGTGATGACTACAACTTGGACTTCAATGCTTTCTATGCGTGGACAGGCCTGTGGAACAGTTTCTTCCTTGCACTCTATGCCTTCTTCAACCTCAGCCTGGTCATGAGTCTCTTCAAGAGGTGACTGGTCCTTTCCAGGTCATAGGGACCATCGAGGCTGGGGGTCTGGTTAGCTGCCTGCCAGCCTCCGAGGACCTGGAACCCTGGGGGGATGGGGTGTCCCCACTGTATCCTGCACCAAGAGGCTGGAGTGGGCCAGGCCTGGGCCCTAGTCCTCTTTTTTTAGAGGTGGGGCACACAGAGCTCAGGGAACCTTGTCCCCAACAACACACCTGTCTCATGAGGCACATCACCTTCTGGCAGGTCAACAGAGGAAATCATTGCCCTGTTCATTTCCATCACCTTCGTGCTGGATGCTGTCAAGGGCATGATCAAAAGTGAGTGCAGGGACAGCAAACACCTGCTGCAGAGGGAGCTGAGCTGGGATGGGGGACTCTGGGCTAGGGTCTGACAGGGAGGACAGGAATCAAGCTAAGGCTGCTCTCACCCATGCGCTGAAGGCTGACAGGACTGCCCCAGGCAGGGTCAGACATGGAGGCAGAGGAACCGAGCCCAGTGGTGGGGTTTCAGAGCTGGAACAGGAACAATAGCAGGGCTCTGGGGATGATGGGTGGATAGGGGGGTCAGTGAGGTCCTGACTGATAGACAAGGTCAGTTTTCCCCTCTCCTCCCCCCACCCCCCAAGCCCTCTCACCCCCTCGGGGCCTCTCCCTCCTTCACCTCCCTGGGGCCCTACCCCACATTCAGGAAGCTGGGCCCTGACCTCTCAGAGCTCAGAAGACTGAGGCCTGTTGGCCTGCTCCACAGTCTTCTGGAAGTACTACTACGGTTACCACCACACAAAGAGAACAGATACCAGCCTCAACTCTGGCATCCACACAGCCTTCAACACCAATCTCCTGGCTGGTTCCATTGAGCTGGATGCCTCAAGCAGCCCAGATGCTGTGCACTCTGGCCAGGCAACTGCAGTGCTCAGCCTCCTCATCATGCTGGGTACCCTCTGGCTGGGCTACACTCTCTACCAGTTCAAGAAGAGGTGAGGTGACCCCAGTGTATGGGGAGGGACTGCACGGCTCTCAGGCCACACTGATCTCACCTGCCATCCACAGCCCCTACCTGCACCCATATGTGCGAGAGATCCTGTCCGACTGTGCCCTGCCCATTGCAGTGCTCACCTTCTCCCTCCTCAGCTCCTATGGCTTCCAGGAAATTGAGAGTGAGCAGGGACCCGTAGGTGGGTTGAGGGCAGCCTGCATTTGTTCCCTGGGGGCTGCTGGCCAAGCAGTGCTTGTCCCCTACTGCAGTGAGCAGGTTCCGCTACAACCCCAGCGAGAACCTGTTTGAGGTGGCACAGATCGACTCACTGTCCCTGGGAGCCATTGGCAGTGCCATGGTCCTCGGTTTCCTGCTCTCCCTGCTCTTCTTCATCGAGCAGAACCTGGTGGCTGCCTTGGTCAATGCACCAGAGAACAGGTATGGGGGCAGAGGAGGGCAGGGTGAGCAAGTGCCTAGTGCCCGGAAGGCCAGTGGGGCTCTGTCCATGTGTGTCTGTGCTGCAGGCTGGTGAAAGGCACTGCCTACCACTGGGATCTCCTGCTCCTAGCCATCATCAACACGGGGCTGTCCCTATTTGGGCTGCCCTGGATCCACGCTGCCTACCCCCACTCTCCACTGCACGTGCGGGCCCTAGCTTTAGTGGAGGAGCGAGTGGAGAATGGGCACATTTATGAGACGTGAGTATGACAGTGACCCTGGGGACCTGGGGCAAAGCCATGTGGACCTAGCATTGGGGCTGTATGTGATCCAGGGAAGGGTGTGGCTTAAGGGAAGACTGTCTAGAGGTGATGGAGCCAGGGGACCACACGTGACCCCCTGCTCCTGGGCCCTGCAGAATTGTGAATGTGAAGGAGACGAGGCTGACATCTCTGGGCGCCAGCATGCTAGTGGGTCTGTCCCTCCTGCTGCTGCCTTTCCCACTGCAGTGGATCCCCAAGCCTGTGCTCTATGGCCTCTTCCTCTACATTGCGCTTACCTCCTTGGATGGCAACCAGCTCTTCTCTCGTGTGGCCCTGCTGCTCAAGGAGCAGGTGGGTCCCCAGCCCAGGGGGATAGGCGGGGCAGGGCACACAGCTGTCCCTGCCCACACCTGGTAACTGCTGCCCGCAGACATCATACCCACCCACCCACTACGTTCGGAGGGTGCCCCAGAGGAAGATCCACTACTTCACAGGCCTGCAGGTCCTGCAGCTGCTACTGCTCTGCGCCTTCGGCATGAGCACCCTGCCCTACATGAAGATGATCTTCCCCCTCATCATGATTCTCATGATTCCCATCCGGTACAGGCGGGCAGGAAGGGCAGCCCAGGGCTGTGTTGTGCGGGCTGTGCTGGGTGCCTGCCACCTTCTCTCTGACCACTCACAGCTCATCTGCATACCTCTCCCTCCTGTCCACAGCTACATCCTGCTGCCCCGAATCATTGAAGCCAAGTACTTGGATGCCATGGACGCTGAGCACTGGTCCTGATCAGGCTCTGGCCACACCTTTGCCGCCCTCCTGTCCTCCCGGGTGTAGGGAGGTGCTTATGTCTGGGGGCTTGTAGTGGGCTGTGTCCTCACAGGCAGCTCACAGGCCCTGGCACTTGGGCATTGTGGGGGTTCAGTGCTATGTGCTTCCCCTCCTCTGCACATTAGCCTTCAGCTTTGGGTCAGGAACACTGCTCAGGGCAGTTTCTGTCCAGGGTGGGACTAAGCAGGGTGGGTTTTCTTTTGATAAAAGAGTCAATGTCAGGAGAGAAGCCATTTCCTTGATAGTGTAAGGAACCCACTGTGGACACTTCAGAGAATAAAGCTCCTGTTTCTATGCTTCTCTGTGTCACCCCCATCCCAGGGGAAGTGCAATGAGAGGGACTAATGTTTACTCAGTGGCACTTGTGGGTGGTTGTTGCACTTCGCACAGTGGACCCTGCAAAACATAACCCTACATAGTAGATGCTGGCCCAACAATGCAGTGTGGACCAGGAGGGTGGCCTCTTGTGCTGCCCTGTTTTGCGGCACCTGCAGGGAAAGTTCTGGAAATAGCATGAGGGACAGAGGTGGAGCCCAGTGAGGTGCTGTGGCTGGGGCAAGGGGTGAAGGCATAGACACCCTGCACAGGGTGATGGCGGGGCCAGAGGGAAGAGGGAGAGTGGCAGAGGCCAGCATGTGAGGGGTTTGGTGGAAGGATGAAGGTTCCACACTTGGCCAGGGTCCATGACAGTGGCAGCCAGAACAGAAATACAGATCCGGGGCTCAGAGTACTCCAGGGTACCTCCAGGAGCAGCAGAGATGGCAGACAGGAATACCTGGCTTACTCTGAGTTGACAAATGCCCCATGGACTAAGATATTTTGGATTAAGGTGGTGGAGGAAGGGATTCACTATGCTCAACACAGAAAAGGTACTAATATCTAAAGTATACAAGGAATTCTTGGAAACCAATAAGAAAAAGACAAAACTCTAGAGGCAATGGCTTCAAATGGGAAGAGGGAGCCCAAAAGGCTAATAGGAAAGGAGATGCTCAAACCTCTTGGTAGGGCTATGGTGTGGCTCGGAGGCAGAGGACTTGCCTAGTATGCACAAGGCCCTGGGTTTGATCCCAACATTGCAAAACACAAAGGCAAAAAACACTTGGTAATCACCCTGCAATGAATGTATGTTATGTTTTGCAACATGTGCTTAAAAAGACATCCACAAAAAACAAAAATCCCTTCGTAATCAGATAAAAGCAAGCTAAAAAAAAAAAAGAGGTGCCACTTTACCCTTGATAGACTGGCAAAAGTCAGAGGTTGGTGCTACAGTGAAAGATAGGGCCCTAGGGCCCGGGATGTAGCTCCAGAGCTGCACCTGCCTGCCAAGTGCATAAGATTCTGAGTTCAATTCCTGGTACCAAAAAGAAAAAAAAGAGGAGACAAAGTATGCACCCAAGACAGAGCTCAGGAAGAAGCCAAGCTTCTGCAAACATGGTTGTCCTGCTCCAAGTCCCATGTGCCCACTCCATCCACCTGGCATATGATTCTGCTTGGAGGGCCCTTCCTCAGCAGCCTGGCTCTTCATTCTCTACAAGAGGGGCCATCTCCAGAGGCAGGCAAAAAGTAGGCAGACATAATGCTCCCAGCAAGGAGGCCACTCAGGAGGCTGGGCTAGTGATGGCACTTCCGGGGAACCACCCAGTCGTGCCTGGCAGGCAAGAAGGGAGGGAAGGAACCATATTCTGTCCTCACCCATGTGCAATGCCCCGGGTGAGGGAAGACAGTTCTGAGGAGAGAGCCAAAGCTAAGCACAACCTCACCAGGACTGAGAGCAAGGATTGGCAGAGGCTCCTCAAAGCTGTCTGGGAGCATAAAAGTTAGCCTGGGAGTGGCACCAGCATGAGGGGCCCTGCCCTAACCTGCCTTCTGTCCTGACCCATTTTTCTCAATGTCCATGGGGTTGTGCACCCTTCCTTACCAGAGAATGGCCTTTCTCTGATAATGCAAGGCAGCCACCTTCCCAAGTCCCACCCAAGAAATGGCTTCCCCAAGGCAGAGTGAGGCTCTGGGGCAGCTGGACCAGGCCTCCAGAGGGGGCCCCAGCCCTCAGGCTGAACGGTGGCCTTCCATCCCCCCCCACCAGAAAGATAACTTAGTGTTATCACACTGACATTTTAAACCAGGTGTAATGGCATGCCTAGAATCCCAGCACTATGAAGCAGAAAGACTACAAGTTTCAAACCCAGCCTGGGCAACTGAGTGACTTGGTGAAACCCTGTCTCAAAAAATAAAAAGGGTAGGACTGGGGATTTAGCTCAGTGGCACCTCGGCCTGCCTCACAAGTGCAAGGTCCTGAGTTCAATACTAAGTACCAAAAAATTAATTAATTAAAAGGGCATAGGGTTGAATCCCCAGTACTGGAAGAAAAAAATATATATGAAATGGGCCAGGGATTTAGCTCAGTGGTTCCGTTGCTTGCCTTGCAAGCACAAGGACCTGAGTTCGATCCCTGGTACCAAAAAAAAAAAAATATATATATATATATATATATGCACACACACACATATGAAGTAACATTTTAGCTACTCTAACATACAGCATAAAGTAGAAACTAAACATGGCACCCCCCCCCCATCCATCAAAGACCACGAAGGCCATATGGTGGTAGCATCATCACCTGAAGGGTGAGTGGAGAGCACGGACCTGGCACAGAAAGAGGACAGCCCACAACCAGGACTTGGAGAACAAGAGGAAAGAATTCAGCACAGAAGATGTAATAAGCCAGCAAGAGTAGGTGAACACCCTTGCCACAGCACTGCCCTTGTCCCGTCCCCTACTTCCCCCACCCCCAGCCCCACCCCCACCAACCCAAAAGGCTTCCTGCACCTGTCAAAGGGAACAGACAACAGCCTGAGGCAAGGTTCAAAGCAAACACATCTAGTTTATTTTGGAAACAATTTCCTTCCGGAATTTTTATTTGCTGCATTTTAAAAACATCTAAGGCTGTTTACCCAGTTTTCCCCAAACCCTCAATCCTGCCAAGACATTTTTGTTTGTTTGTTTGGTACCAGGGATCAAACTTGTCCTTGCACTTGTGCAGCAGGCGGCAGAACCACTGAGCTAAATCCCCAGCCCCAAGCCTTTTTTTTTTTGGTACCGGGAATCGAACTCAGGTCCTTGTGCTTGCGCAGCAGGTGGCAAAACCACTGAGCTAAATCCCTGGCCCCCCAAGACTTTTTTTAAGACAGGGTCTCGCTGTGTAGTTCAGGCTGGCCTTGCTCTTGCAGCGATCCTCCTGCCTCAGCTTCCCTAGTGCTGGGATTACAGGTGTACACCACCACGCCCTGGCTCCAAGACTGGTTTTTATCACTCAAGATCCTCTCAGGATCCAGGCCTGGAGACTGTAGGAGTAATCACTGAATCCACAAGGACCAATACTGGTGTCAACCTGCCCAGCGCTTCTGTGAACAAAGCCTTGGCTCTTCCACACCCTGGCAAAGCTGCCTCCACACCCCAGTGAATGCCTGATGGAGGCACTGAGGTGTCTGCCTGATGGGAGAGGCTCCCAGCTAGCTCTCCCCAGATCCCCAGCCCGAGGCACCTCCTCCAGCCCCAGGAGTCAAGCTGCCAAAGTACTGCTGCAGCTCAAGCAGGGCCCGGAAGCGATGGGAGATGGCATTCTTCTCTGCCTTGGGCATCTCAGCGTACCTGAGGGGTCACAGCAGCATCTCAGAACAGGGGGCCCAGATCCCAGGAGGATGTGCACCCAAGCCCAGCCCCACAGCCAAAGCTTAGGAGCTCCAGGGAAGAAGGGTAGGGACCACTGGCACAACTAGATAATTTTTTTAAAATTTTGACAATTTTAACTTTTTCTTTAGATAGAAAACAGTATGAATGAACACCGAAGGATAGTAAACCTGCTCTACTGCCTCCAGAAGTTAAGGAAAGCTGGGAACTGGGATGAGCCCCATGATTGCTCAGCTTTGTTATCTGTTGACAGGAAGCACTGGGGCCTAAGAGCATAAACACAGCAGCCTCTTCTAATGCACTGGGTGGGCGGGGGGGGGGGAGCTGGCCAAGAGCCCATCCTCCATGCCAGGACTCTAGTGAGGTGAGAGTCCACCCCTGCCTGGGGCTTCAGACCCTCACAGGCCAATACAGTAGCTACTGTCCCCATAATGCTGTGTAAGTTCTTCACAGCCAAATAAAAATGAACACTGTTCCTCGGCCTAGTTCCATTGCACATGCTCCATAGCCACACATGGCTAGTGGTGACCCACCAAACACTGCACAGGGAGAACACTTCCTTCCTTGCTTCCTTCCTTCTCTTTTTTCCTTCCTTCCTTCCTTTCTTTTTTCTTTTTGAGACAGGGTCTCAATATGTAGTTCAGACTGGCCTTGAGCTCACTATGTAGCCCTGGCTGGCCCCAAACTCATGGTGATCCTCCTGCCTCAGTGTTTCAAGTGCTGGGATCACAGGTGTGCACCACCATACCCAGCAAGAAAACATTTCTAAGTATCACCAAAGATCATTCCTGGACAGTGCTGTTTCACAATGTCTTCTGCCCTGTGTGGCTACTGTGAGGCCCCAGGCTATGGTTCCTAAAGGTCTCTCCAGCCAAGAAGCCTGATTTCGACAAACAAGAGGGGTTTGCCGTGAAGTCCTGAGAATACCTAGTACTGTAGGGTTGAAGGTACCCACCAGAGGCCACTAAAGTATGAACATTTTGCCTATGCCAATAAAACAGCTCAGAGAATCATCTCATAAAATTGTTGGGTTTGTACATGTTAAGCCAAGACCGGGGGAAGAAATCACTGCTTTCATGCCTGCTCTGAGGGGAGCTGCAGCCAGAGCCCAGGATGCCCACCTCCACCTGCCATGGACAGTCACCCAGATTCCTTGTGTCCACCCAGCAGAGCTGAAAACGGCACCCTCGGAACCCACCCTGCCCATATCCATGTGCCTGTACTGGGGCAAGGCACCCACCCAATCTATGCCCCAGGGAAGAAATTGGGGGCTCCTTACGTCTGCTCGTATCCATCAGGCTGAAAGCAGGGGTCCCAGCCAAAGTCCCGGCAGCCTCGGGGAGCTACAATCTGGCCCTGCCACAGGAAAGGGGACAAGTATGTAACTCGGCACTGGAAAGGTCGTTTGAGTTGGGCTACTTTGTGAGTTGGATTAAACTGGATAGTTCAAGGGGTTCATAGTGCTTACAGACATTTGCTGAATACATAAATAAGTGCAGAGCAGGGCCGGGCATGGTGGTGCATGCCTATAACCCCAGCACTCTGGGACACTGATGCAGGAGGATCAAAAGTCCAAGCACAGCCTGGGTAATTTAGCAACTTAGTTAGACCCTGTCTCAAAACTTTAAAAAATTAAAAAGGGCTTTGGATGTAGCTCAGGGTGAAGGCCTTGGATTCAATCCCCAGGATCCAACCCCTCTCCCCAAATTCAGGACATACAGGGAGGAACCGTGAACTTGATTGGTCCACCAACACCTCTGGGGCCATCCTCCCTCTCTACACTTTTGATAAACTGTGACCTCATTCAAGAAAAATGAGCTGATTTTGAAAAATCGACAGAAAACATTTTAATAGGATTTAAGGGCTCTGAATTCGACGGATAAGCCCTATGCTTACACTATTCCTCAAAACATAAGGGTGGGGCCAGGCATAGTGGCACATGCCTGTAATTCCAGTACTCAGGAGACTGAGGCAGGAGGATCACTTTGAGCTCAAGGCCAACTTGGGCTACATAGTGAGTTCAAGGCCAGCCTGAACTATATAACAAGAGCCTGTCTCAAAACAAACAAACAGCAACCCCAAGAGTGGTGAACAATGACCAAGTCATGCAGAGCCAAAAGCAGATTTCGGCTTTTGCTAGTAGAGTTACATGACCACAGGCAGTTACTAAACTACTCTGAGCCTCACTCATGCGACAAATGTTTTGTGAGTGACTGCAGTGGACCAGGCAGTGTTCTCAGCCCTAAGGTCCCAGAAAACCTAACCTTCTCCTCCTGCAATGGATGTGAGACACAGGGGGGATGGGGACTGGCATGCAACCAGGGCAAGCAATAGAGCTGGAACAATAGGGCATGGTAGGGGGCACAATGACACAGGCGCTGTCACAGGGAGGCTGCTAGTCAGTCACTCTGCAGGAAGTAGGCCCACAGTTAAGTAGACATTTCTGGGAAAGCAGCAGACATCTCCAACTAATCTTTAACAATTTAACCAGGCAACATGACCCCGCAATCCTGCTCCTGGGTATTTCTCCCCCAAAAATGAAAACAAAATCTTAATTGTGGTTGTGTATTATGGCTAAGATGTGGAAGCAATCTAAAGGTCATTGACAGATAATAAACAACAAAATATAGTCTGCATACAACTGAATATTCTTCAGCTTAAATTCATAGGAAACTGTTGTGTTATAACATGGATGGAGCTTGAGAACATTATGCAAAGTGAAATAAGCCAGTCACAAAAAGACAAATATCGTATTACTCTACTCTGTGTGGCATCTGAAGTAGTGAAACCCTCAGAAGGAGAAGTAGAATGGTGGTTGCTAAGGGGGTGGAGGCAAGGAGGAAAGGAGAGTTGTTCAATGGGTAGTTTCAGATTTGCAGGGCTGAAATTTTCTGGAGATCTGGGGTCCAACAGTGTGAATATCTTTTTTGGGGGCGGGGGGGTACTGGGGATCGAACTCAGGACCTTGTGCCTCCAGGGCAGGTGGTGGAACCACTGAGCTAAATCCCTGTCCCAGTGTGAATATTCTTAACCCTACTGTACTGTGCATGTAAAAATGGTGCAGATGGTAAATTTTGTGGTATGAGTTTTTTTTACCACCATCAAAAAAAAAAATAACCAGGCAGGGTAAAATGAAATATCTGCAGACAGCCCCCAGAGGAACATTGGATTTGATACTGGTAGGAGGAACTGAGGAGTGACAAGGCAGAAGCTGAGTGGCTGGGAGGCTCTGGTCCTTGAGAAAAGCAGCCAACTCTAAGGGCCTGACAGGGAGTGCTGAATGGTAACTGGGGAAGGAATGACCTTGGGTGAAGAATTAAAATACTAGGCTGTAGGTAAAGCGCTTGATTAGCATGTGTAAGGGCTTGGTCCTGATCTCCAGCAGCACCACCAAAAAGTAATAATAATAATAATAATAATAACAACAATAATAATAATAATAATTTAAATTCTATGAAACGTCATAAAGTCAAAGGAGGCTGTACTTTGGCAGATGGATAGTAACTTTGAGTGGGGTAAAGTCTGGGCTGTTAATGTAGCTTTGGGCTTATTTTGCTTTTTGAGGCGGGGTCTTACTGTGTAGCCCAGGCTGGCCTCACACTATGTAGTCTTGAACTCCCTAAACTACCTCAGCCTCCGGAGGGATAGCTTTGGGAGTGGTTACCTTCAGTCTTACCAGCACACAAGGACAAAGATTTGGATGCATCAGCCTCAGGAGCTGTTAGCCAGAAGCTTCAGGGGTCAAAGAGATTTAGGGACTGACAATACTTCTTGTTACAGTGCTCACAGGTACTTCATGGCATGGCTATGGCAAGCAACTCTGGGCGGTTTGCCCAGGTCACAGCGGCCCCTGGTGGCAAGTCGAAGAACAGTGCCTGAACAGATACTCACCGAGGTCCGGCCCCTGAACAGGCTCACAGGCTCGCTTGGGTCCCCTGTGCTGAGCGCGAACGTGCAGAGTGCATAAGCCGATTTGTCCTCGAAGCCAGCCAGGAGTTGGTGCAAACCTGTGGACACGTGAGGTGAGGGCTCAGTGCACCCGTGCTGCCCAACGTTCTCCTTCAGAAACCCACCCGGATGGGAAAGGCACCCCTAAACTGGAATAACATGGATTGGAGCTGTGAGGGCTTCACCTTAGCCCTCAAGAGGAGGCTCAAATTCCAGGCTCTGGATATGGTTTTTTGTTTGTTTACTTTTCAGTACCGGGGATTGAACTCAAGACCTTGCGCTTGCTAGGCAGGTGCGTTTTGTTAAATCAGAAAATCAGAGCCGGGGATTTAGCTCAGTGGTGTCCCTGCCTGCCTCGCAAGCCAAGCGCAAGGTCCTGAGTTTGATCCCTGGTACTGAAAAAAAAAGAAAGAAAGAAAGAAAATCAACCAATATAGTGTAGACTTGATTCCTAATGAAAAATGAATCAACTGTAAAAAAGTACTTTGGTTACAACCAAGGAACTCCCAAACTAATTATATAGCACTAAAAAATTAGCTGGAGGCAGATGGTGGCAGAGCATATGCTCAGCATACTCAAGGCCCTGGGTTCAATCCCCAGAACCAGATTAAAGCAACTAAAATTATGTATATTACAAATCATACCTGTGTACCTATATATAAATTAGAACTTGTGCTGCTATCCTGAATAATGGAGGCAGGTGTCATTTTTTTTTTTTTAACTTGACAAATAATTGTATATATGGGGGGGTGTTATTTTTGTGGTGCTGGGCATTGAACTCAGGGCCTCCACACTGAGCTACATCCCCACACCTTTTTCACTTTTTTATTTTGAGACAGGGTCATACTAAATTGCTAAGTTGCCCAGGATGGGCTTGAATTTATAATCCTTCTGACTCAGCCTCCAGGGTGCTGAGATTATAGGTGTGCAGCACCATTCTTGACATCATTATTATATAATATTATACTACCTTACATATTTGAAATGCTCTATATTTCTTAAAGCACCTTAGAGGAACATTCTTGATGTGAGGGCAATCTGGTTGCAACGTTTGTCACTCCACTAGTTGCTAGGGTTGGTTCAGCCAAATTGGTTGGGTAACTGGGTATCCCCTTCCTTCTCCACTCTATGTGTGTCCCTCCTAAAAGCTCTGCCCTCGGTTAAACAGGACATCTTTCCCCAATAGAGGAGGGCCATTCTTTGGTCTGGGATATAGGAGTAGCTGTGTTCTCCTGCTAGAACCTCCAAATAGCTCTTAAGAGGAAACAGTGTGACCTGCACCTGTGGGTGGCTGGGAACAGATTTATGGGGCCTAGGAGGGCAGCCCCCTCCCCCAACCCGCAGCCCAGGTCCTGGCAGAAGCAACTGCAGGCAGTCACTAGGGGCAGTCACTAGGAAGTCACTGGGTCTCCTTGATACCCAGAATCAACTACAGTGGCCTGATCCCTCAAACTTACACCTGCCACCTCATCTCAATGCTTTGGTGCACAGACAAGATATGAGCTGAGGTTACAGAAGGGAGGCTCAATGGTGGTAGCTAGAACCTGGGACTTCCTGGTCACTAGTAGAAGACTACCAGGGGATTCTCAATTCCCAACAGATCCAAGGGAAGAAAAAATGGGGATAATACCTTCAGGCTTTAACTTCTCCAGAAACCATTTTCTGCAAAAGAAACAAAAAGTCAGATATCTCGAGCAGAATAATCTTCCTATAGGATCTGAGCTCCAGGACAGCTAAGAGGAAATGAGAAGGAATGCCTCAAATCAAAACCTAGAGAAATAGGGCCCAGAGATTTAGCTCAGTGGTTTTGCCACCTGCTGCACAAGTGCCAAGGACCTGAGTTCAATCCCCGGTACCAAAAAACAAACAAACAAACAAACAAAACCTAGAGAAATAATCTAGAGGCTGGGGGTGTGGGGGTAGAGCATGTGGTTAGCATCATGTGCAAGGGCCTGGGTTCAATGTCCAACATCAAAGAGAGACAGAAATCATCTAATAGGAAAAAGGAAATGGAGGCAAACATGCAATGCATGGAAAAAAAAATCAATTGGGCTGGGGATTTAGCTCAGTGGTTTTGCCTCCTGCTGCACAAGCACAAAGACCAGAGTTCAATCCCTGGTACCAAAAGAAAAAAAAAATCAATAAACAAATGAAGGCTTCAACCTCATTTGGTAACTAGGGAAATGCAAAATAAAACTGTATGTGATTTTAAAAAAAAAACTACATGTGGGCCAGGGATTTAGCTCAGTGGTTCCGTCACCTGCCTGGAAAGTGCAAGGACCCGAGTTCCATCCCCGGTACCAAAAAAAAACCAAAACGTGATTAACATTCACATCCTCCAAAATGCAATTATTTTGGGTTTTTTTTTTTTGAGACAGGGTCTTGGCTACATAGTTCAGGCTGACCTCGAACTTGCAGTGATCCTTCTGCTTCTGCCTCCCAAGTGCTGGGATTATAGGTGTGCATCACTATATCCGGCTCAAAATGCAAATTTAAAAACTCATAATATGCTCAGTGCTAGAAAGGATGTGGAACAATATATACTGTAGATATAGGTATATAGAGGTGTTATTGCTTTGGCAAACAAACTGGTCATCCAAAAAGTTAGAGATATATACTCAAAACCAGCAATGGTACTTCTGTACATATGTCCCCAACTACAGGGGACTTCAAATTGGGTTGTGTCCTAGAAATACACAAAAGACCTTCTAAGGGGGTCCAGGGTACTGGATAATTTTAAGGAAATCAGTTTTCAGATTTTAACTTCCTTATTTCCTCTTTCCTGAAACTGATCTGCCCATGAATGTACCTGAAACTGAGTGGGTTCCCCTCTTCCCATCTCCACTTACACAATTACAGTCTCACACTTTACAAAAGAAAGGCACACCTCTCCTGTATTCCTAATCCTTTCCTGGGACAACTGACATACTGGTGTTGATGCCAAGATAGTGAATGATCCACAGTATCTGGTAACCAATCATTTTGCATAATAGTGGTTTGTGGCTGAGGCCTTCCAGAGGAGTTCATGTGGACACTTACATGTAGGGGCCAGGAAGCCCACCAAGGGCACTGAAGCACAAACAGGTATCTTCTACCAGGACGGGTCCCTGCACCTGCAGCACAAGGACATGCATCCCTGAGACCTGCACCCAGAAGTAGGCTCCAACCCTGCCCAGAACCCCCAGGCCACCTAGGCTGGGGCCAACCCCACAGCTAACTGAGATCTGCAGCAGACAGAAAATCATCATGGCCACAGGCCCAGCCCTCTATCTTCATTTTAGAGACGGGGACCACAGCACTGGCAGGCATGCAGCTTGTTCCAGACACACCAATGGAAGTATTGGGACCCATATCCAGGCAGCTTGACCTTCACACTGTGCTCCTTTTCAGTTTATAAAGATGTGTGAGTGCAGGGATGGGGTGGGGGAAGAATGTAGGGCTGGGTTTCTGTACTTGAGCTGGGGAGGCTATGGGTGGACAGAGCGAATGTATGTGCGTGTATGCGTGCGTGTGTGTGTGCGTGCGTGCGTGTGTGTGTGTGGTGGCCTGGGGGAGACACCATACAGTCAAGGTGAGGACAGGAAGGCAATGTCCCAAGGCCAACATTAACTGAGGCTAGCCTAGCTAGGCCTGGACAGGTCCTTGAAATCACAACAAACTGCCCCTTCTAGTGTTCTCTGCTATTCCCAAGAGCACTGTGCCAACAATGGTGAGTGTGGGACTGACAAGGGATAAGTACCTGGCGCGCAGCCTCCCGACACTTCTGAATGGAAATTTCATCTGGCTCGCCCTGGTACTCTGGCACTTTTCAGGAAAACAGACACAGTCAGTCATAGGAGGAAAGAAAAATGGAACCATCTTTTAAAAATACAACAAAACAGAGACATACAGTCAATCTTCTGTGCCACCAAAGTGCATGGAAACTTATCTCCTAGAATCTGAACGACCTGTTTCAAAATAAAGAACATTTATTACCAGGTGTTAGTAATTCTCCATTACTACGTGAACTGTCATCCACCTTTCTCATGAGCTAACTCTCTGGCCAGTCCCCTAAAGCATGCCAAATCAAGCTGGCCATGGTAGTGCATGGCTATAACCCCCAGCACTTGGGAGGCTGAGGCAGGATGATTACTGTGAGTTCAAGGCCAGCCTGAACTACATAGTGAGACCCTGTCTCAAAAATAAACAAACAGAGGGCCGGGGATTTAGCTCTGTGGTTCCACCACCTGCCTAGAGCAAGGACCCATCCCTGTATCCCAAAAAATTAAAAAAATAAATACCAAGTCAAGCCTGTAAGCTTCATCCCAGCCTTCAGGGTCTCACTCCAGCCAATTAGCAACCCGTCTCCTATCCCTCTGTCCTCTCCTACTTAAGTCTCTGCTTTTGCTACTCCCTCCCTCACCCCATATAATATACCCTCTGCCCATCTCAGTGCTCCACCATCTCCTAGGCCAGGAACACCCTATCAGGAGATACCCAGAATTCAGGAGGCCTGTGAACCCAGATGGGAAAAAAAATTCTTCATTTTTATGACCTCTAATAGAAATTTATCCCCTTTTCAGTTATGAATACAGGTAACAAATAAATAGTATTGATAGTTCCCATGACGTTTTTCTTTTGTTTTTTGAGACAAAGTCTCACTATGTAGTCAAGGCTGGCCTTGAACTCCTGGCATTCCCCAGCCTCCAGAATGCTAGAATTATTTGCCTGTGCACCACGCCTGGCCTGTTTTTGTTTTTTGAGACAACTCTCACAAAGTAGTTCAGGTTGGCCTTAAACTCAAAATATATTAGTTGCCAGGGATTTAGCTCAATGGCTTCCACGCCTGCCTCACAAGTACAAGGTCCCGAGTTTCGATCCCTAGTACCAAAAAAAAAAGTTTGCAAACAAAATATATTAGTTGAGGCTGGCCTATCACTTTTGGTGATACTCCTGCCTCAGCCTCCCAAATGCTGAGATTACACATGGGTGCCACCACACTTGGCTATGACTTTTAAACCATTAAAATCACAGATCTTGTCATGTTCCGTTATAATTGTTGTCTATATCTCAAAATATTTACAAGGGAGAGAGGGAGAAAGAAAAAAATTACAATTCTAAAATTTTCAGTGCTGGAGATCAAACCCAAGGCCTTGTGCATGCTAGGCAATTGTTTTACCACTAAATTACATCCCAGACCGCTCAGTACTGGAGATTGAACCCAGGACCTTCACATTGAGCTTTTTATTTTTATTTTTTCACATTTTCATTTTTAAGACAGGGCCCCGCTATGTATTTCAGGACAGCCTTGAACTAATAGCTCAGCCTGGTCTCAAACTTCGGGAAATCCTCCTGCCTTGGCCTCCCGAGTGCTGAGATTATAAGTGTGCACCAATACATCCAGATTTTTAAATTCTGAAACAAGGTATAGCTAAATTGTCCAAACTGGGCTTGAACAATCATCCTGCCTCAGCCTCCCAGAGTGCTGGGATTACAGGTGTTATCACCACACTCAGTTCTATTTTAAAATTAAGGAAATTACACACACTGCTAGATTGACTCCTTTAACACACTAATAAAGTATATATAACTATATCACAAATACTTCTAATATTTTCAGAATTGTCTTTCAATATAATTGATTTCCATTGTAATCCTATATATCTATTTTGTTTGCAGTTCTGGGGGTTGAACCCATGGGTGCTTTACCACTGAACTATCTCCCCAAACCTTAAAAAAAATTTTTTTAAATTCTGAGAGAAAAAAAATTTTTTTCAGACAAAGTCTTGCTAAGTTGCCCAGGAGACTTGAATTTTCAAGTCCCCTGCCTTTGTCTCCCCAAGTGCTGGAATTACAGGTGTGTTCTACCATCCCTATACACTTTATTTTGTACATTTGAAACTATTTCCTTAAGAAAGAGTCCACCGAGGGCCAAGGATTTAGCTCAGTGGTTTTGCTGCCTGCTGCGCAAGCGCAAGGACCCGAGTTCGATCCCCAGTACCAAAAAAAAGAAAGAGTCCACCGGCTTCATCAGTTTGTAATGGGCAACCAAGAGACAAACAGAAAGACTCCCTTGTTCTAGACCATGTTCAAGTCATCTTCTCTAAGGAGCCTCCCTTGGCCATTCAACCAACCTCTTTCTTTTTTCCTGTGGTGGTGCTAGAAGTTGCACAGCCTTGCACAGCCTTGCACAGCCCCGACAAGCGCTGTTCCACTGAGCTCTCCTCAGTCCCAGGCTGCTCTTTAAATAGGGGAAGGTACCCCCCCCAAAAAAAATGTATA